TATTTTTGATGCATAAATCAATGTGAACATGATATCATGTATATGAAAATTCATTTAACGAACTTAATTTATTACATGATATTTTTTTAATCCAACCAGAAATTTGATCACCTTGTTTTATTTTAATTTTAAATGTGATATACATTTTATATATATATATATATGAATAACAGTTCCTAAATTAATGAAAAAATAACATAGATAGATACAAAAAATAGGTCTAGGTTGGTTAAGACTTGGTCGAGTATGGTTCAGACTAGGTCGAGTATGGTTCAGACTAGGTCGAGCATGGTTCAGACTTGGTCGAGAATGGTTAAGACTATGTCGAGTATGGTTCAGACTCGTATCAAATGGTTAAGTACTGGTCGAGTAAAGGTCGAGTACAAGTTCAGACTGTTTAGTATGGTTCAGACTACAGTCGAGTAATATCAAGTAAATTTCAGACCAATTCAGACTGGTCGAGTAAAAATCAGTTCAGTCGAGTACAAATATAGGCCATTTCAGACTTTTACTGGTTTGTAGTGTATGACTTACATAAAACGAAATATCTAGATATCAATCGACATAATAAAAATATTGTATCTGGACAAGGCACACGATAAAATATCAAAGGTCGATCTTACACCAAACTGAAGTTTTATTTATTGATTGTCTTTTCTGTTCCGAAAAACTTCAAGGAAGAAAGAGTTGCAGGATTGTGATATAATAATCCATCTTATTGACAAGCTATTATTCATTCAAATTAAGTGTTTACACTAATCTAAATATCTTTTTTTCTGAAATTGTTTTATTAAAATTAAATGCTGGAACCGGGGAAACAATTTTTCCTTTCTCGTCGTCATACAATAAAAAAAAATCAGACTTTATCTCCAGCTTTACTCCAGAACGTCAATTTTGATCGATCTTAGTCTCATTTTAAAATGAAAAAAATCTCTTATTTATTCAAAACTATATCAAAATTTTCAAATACATGTTTGTACATCTTTAATAATCAAACCAAAAAAAATGTAAGTATCCGCGTATTACTTTCTATAACCAGCTGAAAAGGGGATTTTTTTTCGCATGCATTTCTTTTAATAAAATTGCTAATTTCTCTATTGACAGAATGTTTGGGAACATTGTGTTTATAGTATGCGTTCTTGGAATCTCATCGTCTTTCCATCTGCATAACAACAAAAGGCAGAATGGTAAGTTGTCCATTTGTTACAGTAAAGTTACACTCCTGTTTAAAATGCTTATAAAATTCATTATATTGTTGTAGATCATCTAGATCATTGTTTAACGCAAAGGTTAGATGCATGGTTTAGCCAAATACTGAAACAAAAGATAATTTTATTGTCAAAACCCGTTCTCCTATAATAGAGGGAGAGAAAATAACAAGAAGACAATCAAACAAGAGGCTGTCAGATTGACAGCAAACCGATTTTCCTGCATGAAAATGATATTTGCAAATCTGGACCCCCAAACAGGATCAATTAAAAAAGAAATAAATGAATTTTTGTAGGGTTCAGAAATAAAAAGGCCAAAACCAATCTAAGTGTCACTTTTCGCTACTTAAAGGTCTCCAACTCAACAACGATAAAATCGTGAAAATCGAACTTGACCTTCATTTAGTCACAGGAAATAACATATCTAAATTTGAAAAGACTTCGTCAAAGCGTTTTCAAGTCATTGCATGGACAACGCTCTAAGTATCACTTATCGCTACTTAAAGGTCTACAACTCAACAACGATAAAAGCTAAATCGTAAAAATCGAACTTGACGTTCATTTAGTCACAGGAAACAACATATCTAAATTTGAAATGATTTCGTCAAAGCGTTTTCAAGTCATTGCATGGACAACGCTCTAAGTATCACTTATCGCTACTTAAAGGTCTACAACTCAACAACGATAAAAGCTAAAATTGTAAGATTCAAACTTCATTTAGTCACAGGAAACAACATATTCTCATTTGAATAGATTTCGTCAATTTGAAAGCGTTTTCAAGTAATTGCACGGACACTGTTTAGCAGCCGCCCGCCGTACATCACCTACTTAATAACCGATATTTTCATTTAAAAATCTGGTTAAAAACCGAAGAAACAGACAAAGCCATGGTAAAAAGAAACCACGAAAAGACAAACATCAGTCTACAAAACAATACACAGAAAACCAAAGTGTGGACAACACGAACCTAATCAAAATTACGGGGTTGAACTCAGGTGCCAATGAAGGGTCAATGAAACAAATAATACGGCAATACAAAGTTGTTTTACCTTCGGTGAACAATCTCGGCAAGCTACGCGTTATTATGTAAACCAAATTGTAACAGGTAAACCTACTTTTTCGTCGTACAAGGTTTAAGGATGTAGTCAGGTGAAATCAAAACAATCTGTCTTCTATGGGGCAAAATATGTTACCCTGTATGGTAGGAAAAACACCAGGATTCTTAACATTTGACAAAAATTCCTAAACCTTACATAAAATTGAGAATGGAAATGGGGAATGTGTCAAAGAGACAACAACCCGACCACAGAACAGACAACAGCAGAAGGCCACCAACAGGTCTTCAATGCAGCGAGAAATTCCCGCACCCGGAGGCGTCCTTCAGCTGGCCCCTAAACAAATATATATACTAGTTGAGTGATAATGAACGCCATACTAAACTCCAAATTGTACACAAGAAACTAAAATTAAAAATAATACAAGACTAACAAAGGCTAGAGGCTCCTGACTTGGGACAGGCGCAAAAATGCGGCGGGGTTAAACATGTTTATGAGATCTCAACCCTCCCCCTATACCTCTAGCCAATGTAGAAAAGTAAACGCATAACAATACGCACATTAAAATTCAGTTCAAGAGAAGTCCGAGTCTGATGTCAGAAGATGTAACCAAAGAAAATAAACAAAATGACAATAATACATAAATAACAACAGACTACTAGCAGTTAACTGACATGCCAGCTCCAGACTTCAATTAAACTGATTGAAAGATTATGTCTTCATCATATGAATATCAGGCACAATCCTTCCCGTTAGGGGTTTAGTATCATACCATCATAACATATATGAGAAGAACATAACCCGTGTCATGCCAACAACTGGTTTTTAAATAAATGTGTTTAGTGCCGATGCAAAGACCCTATAAGTGAATCAATATGACTACATACTTAAGTACCATACAGGTATCTTTGTTCTAATGCAAACTGAACAACATAATATGTTGGTTATTAGATGTACAATGTACTTCAATGAAACAACTAACACACAAAAAAATGGCACAAAACATATACTCAAAAACAAATAAAAATACACAAATACATACATAGCCAATATGACAACAGGAGGCGACATAATATAGAAAACGTACAATACAGGTTAACTGTTATCGACACAAAATAAAGTGTAAAAATCGGATATTGCAATGTTTGGTCTGCCAAAGGTTTTGACTTTGACACAGGCGCATCAACGTAAAACGGAGTTTCTAAGCTTTTTAGGTTACACAAGTATTTCTAATTCTGTATCACATGAACTTTAAAAAAATACTGATAAAAATTACTTTTACAGTGAAATGTTACCTCCCCTAGCGCAGTTTGTGTTTTTATCTTTTTAATATATTTTTTTACAGAATGCGCTGATGTCAACATAACAACAGGCGATACAAATGAATTATATACACTTATATCAGACTACGGTGTTACCATTGACAACCCGGACGATTTTAGAATAGAGTTCCAAATCAAAGCAAGCCAAGACGTTCAAGTGGTATTAATGTCAACAAATAATATCGACGATCCCCTTTATCAGATAATTTTAGGGGGACCTGGAAATACGATCACTATTATGCGAACGGGAAAAAAGGGGAAAATAAAAGATTCTTACAAAGATCCCCTTTTGAGTCAAAATGAATTTAAAACTTTTATTGTCACATGGAAGAATAGCATTGTAAAGGTCAAAGATGGAAACGAACAAATATTGATTGCGTGGAAAGATAAACGTAATCCATTACGCATTGTAAATGTTGGAATAGCTACTTCAGGAACAGTAACCGGAGAATGGGTGATACCGTGCAAAGGTAGGACTTCAGGAATGTGTACCGTAAATCGGGTTACTTTTTGTCGGGTTATAATTCTATTTTTTGCTCTAATGAAAACCAAGAACCGAAAAGGAACAGAAAACGCCATTGCCTAAGGAAAAGGGAATGCACGCCCAGTCACAAATATAAGATAGATATCAGGACGAGAACATGACAATGTACTAGTAAATTGAATATGCATCATGTAATATGAATATGAATCCTATTTGGTATTGTACATATTTTAACGTACTATGAGCGTACGTTCACAGAGTAATTATATGCTAGTCCGATATTGTTCTCACTTCTTAACGGCTCTTTTAGTATACGGCACCAACAAAGTCATAAAAAGGGCCGTGAAACGTCATCTCGGCTATTTGTCCACGGATCGTATATGTCTCTCCAACTGGACAAATTTAGCCTAGCCATCTAGATTTTTTTCGTATACCTAATTAGTCTCAATGAGACAGCAACTAAACACAAAAAATAATAAATGATCGTTAAAGGCCTGTCTACATGTACAAGGTTTTCGAAAACTCATCGAGACTAGACTTTTTGTGAATAAGATTAATATAAGGTTATTAAATATTATCATTGTTATAAGTTTATATTTTCTATAATCCAGCGTTACATCAAAACACATGTGAAGCAAATGAATTGTCATGCGCAGATCGTAATGGTTGTTACGAATTTGGACGGAAGTGTGATGGAGATGATGATTGTTCCGACGCCTCTGACGAAGAAAACTGTGTCCGTCTTCCGCTCGACATGTACCCTTCATTGTATTATTTAGAAGTACAGCCACATATATACGACAGCAAGTACAAGAAATTTTACTTCGATGGATTCGTGAAAATTGAAATGCTGTGTAGACATTCCGCTAATAAAATTGTGCTCCACAGTAAGGAGCTTGATATTGCAGAAAACAGCATCGTGATTCGACCAATGGGGTCTGAAGAAGAACCAATATATCCTACACTGGAATATAATACATATTACCAGTTTATAATACTCAAATCTGATGTACAGTTGAGAGCTGGAAAGACATATACTGTAGAAATGTCATTCCAAGGAAAACTGACATATGATCTTGTTGGACTCTATCTGAGTTCATATAAACGTCAGAGTGACAAAACATGGATGTAAGTGAACTAAATTCTATTGTAGGTGAATTGAATTTCATTCTTACTGAATTAAGTTTCACTCTTAGTGATTTATGTTACATTCTTAGTCAATAAAGTTGCACTTTTAGTGAATTAAGTCACATTCTTAGTGAACGTTGTTACACTCTTGACGGGTTAAGTTACATTTGTGGTGAATTTAGTAACTCATCTTATGATTAAAGTTCATGTTCATAGTGAATTTATTTACACTCTGGGGAATTAAGTTATATTTCTAGTTATTTTAGTTACACTCTATGACTTATTGAACTAAATACATTGTTAGTGAATTTAGTTACACTCTTGGGAATTAAGTTACATTTTTATTTACTTAGTGAATAACATTTCTAGTTAATTTAGTTACACTTAAAGACTTGTGAATTAGGCTACATTCTAAGTTAATTTAGTTACACTCTAGGTGAATTAAGATACATTTCTAGGTACTTAGTGAATAAAGTAATATTTCTGGTTAATTCAGTTACACTCTAAGTCTTAGTGAATTAGGTTACATTCTAAGTGAAAGTAGTTACACTCTTGGTGGATTAAGTTACACCCTTATTCAGAGACTACCTACCAGTAGCTTATTTAAACCATAATGTACTACTAGTATGTTAGTAAATTTAGTTACTACCTAGTTTTGTGTTACGTTTGTTCAGAAGAAATTTAACGAATTCTAAGAAATAAGTTACACTGATTTTTCTTATAGATATCAAGTTGCAACACAGTTTCGAGCAACAGAGGCCAGGAAAGCTTTTCCGTGTTTTGATGAACCCGCCGTCAAAGCAAAATTTAGAGTAATTCTAGTAAGAAAAAATCACATGGTTACTTTGTCAAATACTGACGTCATTCGTCAAGAGAAGAGGTAAGATGTTCCATGATTTATAGTTTACGACTTATATTTCCTGCGGGTGAGAATCAAATGCATTATGGGTAATATTTTAAAAAGTGTACACTCAAAAACGTCATGATTAAATAACGTCTACCATAATGGGAATTTAATCAATGGCATATCGAATTTATGGTGTTGGTGTACTTACAATGACATAACCTATAATCGTCTATATTCTGAATTCTATGAAAACAATTGCATGTGTAAAGTTTTAACATCGCATAAAAGCAATGTGTGTTAAAAATAACAATATAAATTCAATTCATAAAAAAGTCAAAAGGAAAGTCAGTGTCAACGTTAGTTTTCAGTTTTAAGATAAGCGAAAAATTCAACTTTCAACGTCACAACATTACACCAAAAATAATTGATTGATTTGTGTTTGCCTAACGTCCAGTGGCAAATATTTAATTCTAATTTAAGTTCAAATGAATAAACAATAGAACTTTCAAGAGAAATAGAAATTCCGGTTTGAAAAAATGAGAGAGAAGATACAAATAGGACCATTTAAAATTTATAAGTTCAATAAAAACAGACAACACCATGGCCAAAACAAAAAATGACGAAAAGACAATATATAATAACAAAACAATACATAGAAAACTAAAGATTAATCAACACAAACTTCACCAAAAATCGGGGTTGACCTCAGGGGCTCTAGAAGGGTAAACACAGCCTGCTTCATTTATGGCACTAATAAAAGATAAATGTTTTATTTTGAAGGCGTTTTCATTTTATTACTTCTAAAACCGTATCAATTCTATAATTGTATAGCTTTCTTTTTCATAGACCAAATACTTTACAATATCAAAATCGAACCTGAAAATTTCATTATGTCATTGACTATTTTGGGTTGGTTGACTAAGGCATCAAACAAACTATTGACAAATATTCTTGACAGACCACTAACTACCTAATTTGAAACTAATTTTAAAAAAGATATGATTGTTGGTTGCTAAATGTCCAGTGGCAAATATTTCATGCAAGTCCAGAACGAGGTTAATTATACGTTACCCTTTTGTTTTTAAGGTCTAATGGTTGGGTAGCCGATCATTTTGCAGAAACTCCGATGATGTCAACATATTTGCTGGCCTTCGTCGTTTGTGACTTCGAGAATACAACAGACATTGAAAATGGACTAACTGTAAGACTATATTATTCTTATCTGATGTGCATATCTACAAATACTTGTGAATGAACAGAAAGTTAAAGAATAAAGATATAAAACAATTTAGAGCACAATTATATAAAGAAAATATTCCTTATTTTTTTTGTACAAAAACCACTTGTAACAAAAATCTTTTAAAACAAAACACGTTATATGATTAAGCCAGGAGGAGAGAAATGTAAAAATGCGTAATTTTGAGTAAATATCTAAGCTGTCGACCGTATTTATCTGTATTTAGCACACACAGGAAGTTATATTTTCATTACATTATTGAATGATCATATCTTGCATGCAAATTTTCGTCAACAATTAAGTCACCGTAGGGTCAAAGCTGTATTGTAAAATATACCAATGGACATGCATGCCTGGACGTTTGATCTTGGTTATACTGGTTACTTTTAAAGAAGTACGTGCATGTTTGTCATCTTCTAAACTTTAACAATTTAGAAAAAAAACTCTGTGATTGCCATCCGGTTTTCAGTGATTAGCAAGCATCAGCTATAATCGGACCAGATTTTACAATTTCGTATATTTTACATTTCAATTGGTCAAAATTGCCTGCTTTTGTTTAAAGATTTTGTCAGTTATTATAATAATTATATCCATTGGATAAAATGATTTAAAATAATAACAAACCTAGTTGATTGGATTTTTTTTATAAGTTTAGATCATGGTCACGGCAAGATGTGGTAAATCAAACTGAATATTCCTTGAAAGTTGGTATTGACATCATGGAATATTTTGAAGACTACCTTGATGTTAAACTTCCTTTGTCAAAATCAGGTAAAAGTAACCATTTATTGTACTTATATTAATCTACAATATTTCACAAATGACTACGATATTAAATTAGCAAACATTTCAATAAAATAGAACTATAAAAGCTCATCTTTAATTGTTACGATTACTTTTTTCAGTTTTTACATTTCGCGCATGTATAAAAACAACTTAACCTGAATTTCTGAAATTCCAGTATCAACAAAACAAAATTCAGAATTTGTCAAGTTCGTATATTTTATTTTGTATTTACTACCTGCTCACACTAAAGGTATACTGGTTTACCTCTGTCCTTCAAACCTTCCGTAACTTATGTATGTCTCAATTTTGCACCATCTACATATAATAGCTTCTTAATATTTGGTTCAAAGTTTTATATTGCTATATCGTTTGGCATATTATCGGATCCATCCGTATCTACGTCCTGTTTGCCACCTACAGTTGAACATGTATTACAATGTATAAGATCCCTCCGTATCTACGTCCTGTTTGCCACCTACATGTATGAACTCCAAATCATTGGTGCTTGTTTTAAAAGTATTGCAGCATTTTTTAGAAAGTACAAATCAGAGCATTTGATACTATATATTCTAAATAAATACTCACAGAAAACAAAGTTTAACTGTACAATCTAAAAATCATATACGTGACATTTACGCCCACAATTTCAGACTACAAATAGTGAAATTGATGCTCCAAAATGTATGTCGTTATCCATGAAAAAAATACACGTTACAGACAGCGTTTAATTAGAATGTTAAGTCGTCTGTTAGTTGATTCTAGTTATTACTTATACCAAAGTTCATCACGATTTGCTATTGTATCAAGTAAACTGTTTGTAGATATGGTGGCTGTTCCAGACTTTGGTCCAGAAGCAATGGATAACTGGGGTCTTATCCTGTATAAAGAATCAAGCATGCTTTATAACCTCAATGAGTCATCAGAAAGAGACAAACAGGAAGTAGCTATGCTTGTCTCCCAAGAAATAGCCCATCAGGTGGGAATGTAATATGTTGTTATCTTAGAACACTCTACATTATTTCATTCAATGTTACCTTTTTGCAGGAACATTCAAAAGAGAGGCGAAAGACACCAAAGGGACATTCAAGTTCATAAGTCGAAAACATCTGACAATCCCATGGCATAAAACGAAAAACGACCAACAGACAAACAACGGTATTTAATAATATATGAAATTACCGATTTCATTAAAATAATTTGAGTGGCATACAACCAAATGGTCTATATGAATACATTACTGCTTCTTCGATTTACTCTAAACAACTACATGTATATCATGGTCATGTATATCAAGCAACAGAACGAATGGAAAACAACTGTATTCCTGACTTGGAACAGGCATTTGCCATAGAAAATGATGGGTTAAGCCCGGATTTATAACTAGGTAAACTTTCCAAACAAGAATAGAGAAAATGACCAAAGCAATTTACAGAAATGAACATAAAAATAATTAAAATAAACAAATATTCCTCTTGAAAATTTTCAGATATTGCTTGTTTTTTTTTTCCTTCATGATACTAAAAAAAAATTCGGAAGTCGAAGTTTTGATCCTTCCTTTCAGTAAATACTTAATTCAGAAATTGCTGCGTGCATTTATTATGAAATGGTGTGATTGTTTAAAAAAAGACAAACATGCGAGATCCAGAAAATGCTGCACGCAAAAACATGAAATGGTTGTCTGATTTAAAAAAATGAGATATCATTTAATTCTTCCTATTACAGTGTTAATTAAAGTGCTTTATGAAACTGCCAAACACAATGTATATCATGATTTTTACAGAAAACACATCAATCTTTTTCAATTATATAACTATTTTGTAAAAAAATGACAAAGTTTTAACAGAGGGTTGATATTTTTCTTTGCAGTGGTTCGGAAACTTAGTTACAGCAAAGTGGTGGAGTGATTTGTGGCTACATGAAGCATTTGCGAGTTATTTGGAATATAGCGGTCCAAATCATGTTTACCCTGACTGGGAAATGGTATTGTTTACTTGTTAATTAAGGATAGATACAATTATTAATAACTAAGCCGTTTGTTTCCGTCTTATGAGTTTGAAAATCCCTTTGGTATTTTTCGCCTCTCTTTTATGAAGACAAGACAAGAACAGACTATCTATTACAACTTAGACACACATTAGGTTATCGAAGGTCAATACATCACATATTTACCAGTCATAAAACAAGGATTAACAAAAGTACCGAACTTGAAAAAGGGGGAAGTCCATAAAAACTGAAAACATCAACCATTAGACTATATCATGATCATGTATATCAAGCAACAAAACGAATGGAAAACAACTGTCATATTCCTGACTTGGAACAGGCATTTGCCATAGAAAATGATGGGTTAAGCCCGGATTTATAAACCTTCCACAAAAAAGACTGCATGTAGTTGTATAACATCATAACCATAAAAAGGCAAAGTAAACGGAACAGTTAAAACCGCCTGATATTTCACCCCATCTCTTCATTAAAATTCTTTTAAACAAAACAACAACCGTTTCAACGGATAGTGTTAAATATAAATGTAAATGTTTACGCAATGTGAAATCGTTCAACTTTTTATTTACACTTGTAGATGAATGATTTTGTTTTTGAAATAATGCACAGTGCTTTAAAGTGGGATGGAGTGGTTGAACGCCGTCCTGTTTACAAAGAAGTCTCGTTTCCTGGTGAGATCGATGGAATGTTTGATGATATTTCATATGAAAAGGTACATAGTTTAATATACAATTGCTTTCGGAAGCCAATATGCAGAGGAATAATAAACTACTCTTGAACTGGCAATTCGGTTGTGATCGATATGAGATTTGAAAAGTAATTTCTCTTTTATAGTCGGGTTTCTTCATACAGTAGTGACAGTTAATCTTAATATACTAGTGTACAGTAAATCGAAGAAACTGTAGTGTATTCATATAGACCATTTGGTTGTATGCCACTCAAATTTTTTATGAAATCGGTAATTTCATACATTAATCATGTTAATAAAAAAGAACTAATGGCGATAAATTAATAGAACCAAGGATTTGTATAATAATACAAATATTTGATAGAACATAGACACAAGTGTTCTACAAGTGGGTTCTTGCACTTCAAATATTAATGTTCTGTCATGGAAAATTGTTGCTGGACAAATCTACTATTGCAGGTAAATTACTAATATAATGATAAATACTATAAATTATGGAATAAAACAAAATGAATGTTGTAATTCAACATCGTTTAGGATATTTTCAGATAACAACAGCTTTTAACATGACATGGAAAATCATTGGTATCTGCATGTACATGTGAATAAGCCTGCATACTTATTGTGAATTATCGTAGTTTTTGAATTATCGATTGCATCGTCGAACCGGTAGCCGGTAAAAGTGTGGTCACCTTGTTAGGGCCCTGCCGAATAGCGGACGCCCTATAGTGATCAGTCTGTCCGTCCGTCCGTCCGTCCGTCCGTCCGTCCGTCCGTCCGTCACAAATTGTGTCCGCTCTATATCTAGAGAACCGTTAGGATTTCATAGTTTATACTTAGTATGTATATTAACCAACATCAGAGGGTGTGTCATAATGTATGTACAACTTTCTAGGTCAAAGGTCAAGGTCAAAAACTTTGGTTTTAGTTGACAACCCCATGTCCTATGGTAAAGATCGTGTCCGCTCTATATCTTAAGAACAGTTATGATTTCAAAGTTTATACTTGACATGTATATTAACCAACACCAGAGGGTGTGACATAATGTATGTACAACTTCCTAGGTCAAAAACTGGTTTTAGTTGACAACCCCATGTCCTATGGTAAAGAGCGTGTCCGCTCTATATCTTGAGAACCGTTTTGATTTCAAAGTTTATACTTGACATGTATATAAACCAACACCAGAGGGTGTGTCATAATGTATGTACAACTTCCTAGGTCAAAGGTCAAGGTCAAAAACTTTGGTTTTAGTTGACAACCCCATGTCCTATGGTAAAGATCGTGTCCGCTCTATATCTTGAGAACCGTTATGATTTCAAATTTTATACTTGACATGTATATTAACCAACACCAGAGGGTGTGTCATAATGTATGTACAACTTCTTAGGTCAAAAACTTTGGTTTTTGTTGACAACCCCATGTCCTATGGTAAAGATCGTGTCCGCTCTATATCTTGAGAACCGTTATGATTTCAAAGTTTATACTTGACATGTATATAAACCACCACCAGAGGGTGTGTCATAATGTATGTACAACTTCCTAGGTCAAAGGTCAAGGTCAAAAACTTTGGTTTAAGTTGACAACCCCATGTCCTATGGTAAAGATCGTGTCCGCTCTATATCTTGAGAACCGTTATGATTTCATGATAAAGATACAAATTTTTTACCACACATTATTCACAGCGGGGCCCACAGAGATGGCTTTCATCTCAATGATATCTAGTTACCAGCTATTACTGCCACATATACAACAGCATCCGTTTGACATTTAAACAATTGTCTTGCTAAAGTGTACATCATTAGTTACCAATTGAATCTGCACTGCCGATAGCCAGTAATAGTGATTTGGATCAATCGAAAGTTTATATTCGGTTGTGGCAGAAAGATCAGTACAATAATCGATTTTAATTATTGAATGTTACTTTCAGGGTCCATGCATTGTTCGTATGATGAAATTTTTTCTTGGGGAACATACATTTAAGAGAGGATTACAGGTATGTTGAATATACCATTACCATAGAGTAATATACCATTACCATAGAGTAATATACCATTACCATAGAGTAACATACCATTACCATAGAGTAATATGCCATTACCATAGAGTAATATACCATTACCATAGAGTAATATACCATTACCATAGAGTAACAACGAGAGAAAAAAAAAACAATCCGTAAGAAAAACTCGTACGGAGTTATTAACAACATTTGTTAAGCAGGAATTATCAATATCTACTGTAATTGCGCAAAGTTGTTGCCAATGACTCCAAACATAAATCGTGGAATTGACGGCAGACATCGTTCCATCCAAAATGGTATAACAAATGATATTGCATTACATTGTTATAAATTGCCATGGGCTTTATTAAGTTATGATTCTCTAAACGACAAATTGTTTCAGTTTCTGTTTCTTATTATAATGATGCTACTTTCTCATGAGGTCATCTCGTGTACAGTCATATGAAATGAATAAAAGAAGCAGCGAAATGAAAAAAAAAACAGCGAAATAATACAGCCCAACTCCTCCAAAAAAAAAACCAAAACAAACAAACAAACAAACTAACTACAAAAGAAAACGAAATGTACGGTTCTGGATGTCATAAGTCTTTTTTAATTTTCCTTCCGGAATAGTTCAAACTTTATAAAGACCATGTTTTACGTTCATATATTTGATCTTGAATGACAATGAAATGTCTGTGGAATAACGATTTTTCAGCGTTTTCTGAAGGAGCACCAGTATTCAACGGCTACACATGATGATCTCTATAATGCTTTAGGAAAGGTATGTATGCCGATGACCTCTATAATGCTTTTGGAAAGGTATGTATGCCGATGACCTCTATAATGCTTTAGAAAGGTATGTATGCCGATGACCTCTGTGATGCTTTAGGAAAGGTATGTATGCCGATGACCTCTATAATGCTTTAGGAAAGGTATTTATGCCGATGACCTCTATAATGCTTAAGGAAAGGTATGTATGCCGATGACCTCTGTAATGCTTTAGGAAAGGTATGTATGGTGATGACCTCTATAATGCTTTTGGAAAGGTATGTATGCCGATGACCTAAAAAAATAGATGTTATACATGAACATGAATATTGATCCAAATTAATAATGTACACTGAAACTACATACATTTGTAGTTCCATTTCTGTCAAGTGGGTGTTATTGATCAAACATTTCGCTCCAATGGTGAATGAGGAATAGAAATATGGACACTTTTAACAAAGTCTTCTTGCGACCGGCAGTTAAACCCTTGCCAAAGTGGGGTATCTTTTTACATGAACTTATGCGGGATGTACAAGTACACAGACTCGTCCGGTCAGAATCGGGACGTGAAATCCGATGCCTCGTGTAGAGAGAATGCCACGTTGTCTGCACGGTAAGAACCCTTGCAACAAGTCTTTGAGAGGTCAGTTGGTGGCCTGTTTCATGACAAAATTTCTGTTTCTATTCAATATACTCAGTGGCAGTCCAGATTTCCCCGACCTCAACCCAGACGGCCTCTATTACAGGACCTACCTACATATTGTATTAATTGTTTATTTGTTCTCGTCTTGAACATTCGTGAAATATTTTCCACTGGACGTCAAGCAACCAACAATCAATCAATCTTTCAAAAACTATACAAATGGAACACTGTAGATTTTAATACTTACTATTTAGCATGGGCTTTTCTTCTTTTTGAGGGACATACGGTGACTTATAGTTGCTTACGATTTCTACGTCATTTAGTCTCTAGTGGATATATAGCTATCTCATTGGAAATCATACCACATCTTCTTATTTTTTAAAGAAATTTAAAACATGTAACCATCCCAACTTATTGACTAGAATCATGGTGATGTTGAATTCTCCTATCCGACAGTACCACTCATGTAGAGGATGGGCGTTCCTTTGGCTGTATAAATAAACAGTCATTTACAGTCGAACGTTAAATTCATTGGAGCGAGAGTGTAACAAATCTATGATGTTCCAATAGATGACATATTGTTAGGAATAGCCAACAATCCCTTATCCAAGCGGCTTCGTAAATGTCTACATTTATCGGCATATTCTGCTCACTTGACAGGACCTATATATAGCATGGTTTCTATTCCTGAAATATTTACCACTGGACGTTTATTAAAATAACATTAAAACATGCATGCATTCATTTCAGCAAGCCAAAATTGATGGAAAATTAAAATTCGTACAGGATATAAAACACATCTTGGACACCTGGATTCTACAACAAAACTACCCGACTGTATCAATAACAAAGGAAGGGGGTGATCTCAGACTATCACAGACAAGATATGTCGTAGAGCCTGAAAACGTTAACGAGGACAATTCGTCGCCACTTGAGTAAGATTTAACTCATACTTGTTGAATCACATAAGTTCCGGGTAATCTTGTATTTTTTTTTTTCAAATTAACATTAAACATTGTAATTGGTTGATAACATTTAAATAAAATGCAAAAGACCATTGAATGACTGTTGAGTGTTAGTGGCTTGTAAGGGGACTTCGGATAACTTAGGGTTTTACTCGGAACATTTCAAGAAAATGAATATCTTGAATAAACATAGCGAATTTGCGCTTTCTCATGATTTACCATCAAGGGTGCTAGAAACCAGAACAACTTCAACATCATGTCTTGCACCAACAATTAATCTATTGTAGATATAAATGGGTAATACCTGTAACCTTTACAACCAATCGTAATTTACGCTTTGACCAGACAGACAAAGATATCACGTGGATGGATAGAAATGGTTCTGATGGTAAGGTTTTAGTTTGTCTTTATTAACACCGTTAAGGAGAATTTTGGTAAAAGATGATCGTTTGCCGGCTTCTTAATTAATGGTCTGGAGGGGGAGGGATGTTTCATCTCTCTATTAATTTTGTTGGCCATTTTTCTCTATTCTTTATTTGCCCTTTATTCTCTGTTCTTTATAGTTGAGCGCCCCATTTTTCTCTATTCTATATATTTTTTGGTCCTATATTCTGTATGTTTGCATATTATGCTCTATTCTGTAAATACAGACCATCTGTCTAATACAACATGGAAGTAATGTTTTGCATACATTTTTTATTTATTTTTTTGATAAACGTTTTTTTCAGATAAATAAAACAACACCAAACCAACACACGCTTCAAAGTTATTCTCTCTGAACACAAGCGTGTGCTTATGCATATTACCAAAAGATATCGTACTGAAGTGGTACCTGCATGTTTAATTTCCTCAATGCATCAGCGGTAGATATTGCATTATTGCTTTCAAATTGACTATTAAGCTCCTACACCATAACACCATTACATGCTTATAAATGGTGATAGGCCTGCAATTAAGTAATTATATTCAACTTCAATATTGATAATAGTTGTGACTGTTTACCTCTATCTTACAGTGGTAATCTCTGGTGTTATGAGCAAAGCATCATCCAGTGATTGGTACATAGGAAACTTAATGCAGTATGGGTACTATCGCGTGAACTATCCTGAAGAGAACTGGTATAATTTAATCAATCAACTTAGGACAGATCATACGGTAAATACTATATAACTATTAATTCTTTAGTGCAAATTGCAAATCCATTGGAAATATATAAATGCAATTACATATTATCAAGATGCTTGATTTCTTGATTAACAACATATTTGTTACGTTTGGAGGACGTGTTTTTCAACAAACAATCGGCATTCCAATGGGAACCAGCTGTGCTTCCTTTCCCTTCTTGCCAACTTGTTCCTTTATTCATATGAAGCTGACTTCATACATGAGCTTCTTAGGAAGAATGACAAGTAGCTAGCATTACCTTTTAACTTCACGTTCCACTATATAGATGATGTCCTCTTACTAAATTGTTTAAAGTTTGGTGACTATGTTTTGCGCATCTATCCAATCGAACTTGAAATAAAGAATACAACAGATACAGGTAAGTATGTCTCATTATCTTGACTTACATCTTGAAATAGACAATGAAGGTCGGTTAAGAATAAAACTTTACGACAAAAGAGACGATTTCAACTTCCCAATTGTGAACTTTCCAATTCTATGTAGGAAGCCTGTTGATACGATAATTCTAGAGCTTTCATTTCTTATCATAATTTCCTTAATAGAGGGTTGCTGCTTACAAGGAAGATATTAAAGCAAGAGGGTCCCAAGTGTTGAAGTTGTAATTATCCCTTTGAAACTTTTACGGACGCCATGACGATTTGGTTGACCGAAATGGAATATCTGTTTTACAGATAACGACTGATATGTTCTAATTGTCGTAACCCCGTCCTCTTTTCCTCGAATATGATCACCGAATAAGACTTATCACCGGGTTTGTACTTACACGAGCAACACGACAGGTGCCACATATGGAGCAGGATCTGCTCACCCTTCCGGAGCACTTGAGATCACCCCCAGTTTTTTTGTTAGGTTCCTGTTGCTCAGTCTTTAGTTTTCGCTGTTGTGTTTTGTATACTGTTGTTTGTCTTTTGGTCGTTTTTTATTTTTTTTTCATTGTGTTGTCAGATTGTTTTCGGCTAATAAGTTTGAATATCCCTTTGGTATCGTTTGCTTCTCTTATGTAACCAAACAATCTGGTAATGGTGAGTTCTACTATTTCGATGTATTGATAAAGGAAACATAAAAAAACATGATGACATACATGTATTGATTACTTTTTTTACTCCCTTTATGTGCTTTGTGATTATTTGATAGTGCTACAACGCAACACACACATTTGTTATCAATAAGGAGCACATGCGAATTACTTCATGATAAAGCTGAAATAATGGAGTTTTTTTTTTGTAATATTTAAAACGCATTCAAAACAATTAAAATTTCAGAAGATTTAATTAATCAATGGCTTATATAAGAAGCATGTAATACTATGAAAACGGTATATATATGTTAAAAGAGATGTTTTGTTTTCTTAGGTTATTCCTCCTATAAATAGAGCACAGATAATCAACGATGCCTGGCATCTGGCAAAGTGAGTATCTTTTATGTACAACTCTCACTCTCTCGCTCTCAAATGTTTTATCTAGCAAATGTAACCTTATTCTATTGATCACAAGATATATTCAACTAAAAGAAGGACAAAAATCTGTAAAAACAGCTATATACATCGGTAAAGGATTTTTAAAGGATTCCCTAATCATTAAACTGAATGCGCCTTGCCAAATTTTGTAAACGACGAAAACGTTGTTTGTCTTTATGAAAGACTCAACAATGCTATGCACATGACAATACATCGATTGCAAATACCGACTTTTTCTGACTGGTCAATTTTCCTTTTAACGTTTTCTGATTACACATTTTTCTTAACCTCATTCAAAAACAGAATCAGGTCACATTACGACAATACGAACAATAGCCAATACCGTATACTTAATAAGCTATAGAAGTTTTTGAGATAACAAAATATGACACAACAGAGAAAACAAATGGCCTGACAGAAATTAAAACAATCGACGAAAAATCAAAAACTAACTCGGACAAACAGCAACTAATGTCAACCAATACCAGTACATTGAGACAGATAACCAATACCAGTACATTGAGACAGACAACCAATACCAGTACATTGAGACAGACAACAAATATCAGTTCATTGAGACAGACAACCAATACCAGTACATTGAGACAGACAACCAATACCAGTACATTGAGACAGACATATAAAGATGTGGAGTGATTAAACATGGTGTTAGTTCGTTTTCGACTTACGAGTTTGAATATCCCCTTGGAATCTTCTGCCTCTCTTATATCAAATTAAAAAAAAAACTTTGGATAGGACAGTTATCACAGAAAAACTATAGAACAAAATATAAGAATCTGTTGAAAAGAGCTTAGAGGCTTTTTATAGCCGAATAGACGGTATGGGTTTTTTCATAGTTGAAGCCCGTATGGTGGCCTTTAATTGCTTACATCCACCTCATTTACACTCTGGCGGATAGTTTTCTCATTGGCAATCATACCTCATCTTCTTATTTTTATATTGACTCATTCGATCGTGTATATTGTTCATCGGAATATATTCCTGCAGTTAATCTAACCTAATAAAAAGTTATCTCCAATCTTAAAACTATAAAACACCTGTTACATTTTTATCTTGTTGAAAACCATGGCAACTATAGTCTACGCCCTAATAAGGAAGTGGGTGTTTTCGAGACACCCAATATGGTGCAAGTAAAAAAGTCAAACTTTATTTTTCTCAACCATTAAATGAAAATAATCATACTACGTATTTTAGGTCTGGTGATCTAGCCACAGAAATCGCTACTCAGGTCTTGGAGTATTTGCCTGATGAAGATGATTATGTACCACTCAAAGCTGCAATGAGCGAACTGAATTACCTCAAAGATGTGTTAGACAGAACCAAACTTTCAAGTACTTTCTCTGTAAATATTGAATATTTATATATTGAAAGAGGGTAGGAGTGGGTTTCATCTCGAATTCCCAAAAAAATAAATGTCAAACCTCGAATTCCAGTGAAAATAAGGTGCCCGGTCCCGTATAACGATATAATTAAATCCCGAATTCCAGACGAAAGCACCTGGGTATTTCTGAATTCCCGAATTCAAGAAAAAGGTCCTTCCATCCTGGATTCTCTTGTTGATATTTCTTGCTTACACAATGCATCCAGTATTTAGAGTAACTGGTATTTGCTGTTACACTTAGGAGTAAGAGCAAAGGCAGATAGGTTGATGTATCCAGGGACGGTGACAAATCTTCCTGTGCATTTTTACCTTGCACCAATCAACCATTTAAATCTGTTTAAAGTCATTGTATAAGGTTTGCGTCTTGTTGGGCTTTACGTTTTACACAGCCATTCAAGTATATTCTGAAATTTTGGAAAAGGCGTTATAAGAAAATAGAAAGAGCAAAACGATTTCAAAAGAAAAAAAGCTAAAAAATACTTGCATTCATTTGAACCAATGACTAATATTAATTCAGAATTAAATATATTAACCTTTCGATTTTTGAGTTTATTTAAAGGTTTTAAATTAAATGTTTGTTAGCTTGGTAAAACACAGTATTTTGTACCTTCTTTAAAAAAAGGAAACTACAAATATATTTATTTTTTTTGTCATGTTTTCTACCATTCTTTTTTGCAGAAATTCACGCAGAAAATATTTTCCAGACAGTTTCGAAAGTATAGTATTGATACCGCAGAAATTCACACAGAAAAGTAAGTAAACATGAAAATGCTTATTAAGTAAAGTGTATTTCTTCCGTGCACAAAGAAATAGTAATCTCTTCTACAAATACTACAGTATTTGCTATCGAACGTCTTGTTACATGAACGTCCAAAACGAGTAAATGAGATATTCCTCATTATCTTTTTGTTTTCAAATGATGCAATTTGTTCTCTTCTCATACATCAACCAAAATAGCATTGAATGACAAAAGAAAATATTCTCAGAAAATAAGAACATGATTGCCAGTAAGACAATTATCAACCAAAGTTCAAATGAAGAGGATGTATGCATTTATAGGCAACCGTACGGTCTTCAATGATGAGGAAAATCCATACTATATCGTCGGCTATAAATAGCCCCGACATGAAAAATGTGAAACAGTTCAATTGAGAAGACTAACGGCCTAATTTATAACAAAACAATTTACGAAAAACAGATATGACAGACATAAACCAACGACAACCACTGAACAACAGTATAGTTAGGACTACAACTCATTACCAATGTGTCGGTAACTCTGTTGGTGAAAAGGCTATTTCTCGAGGATATCACCCGCCCAATAGTACTTAGGCACTTACATGAACATATGTTGTTTTGTATGGGAATGTAATTTTTATTATTGTGCATTGGCATGCTGTCACTATTATTTTAGAGCTTCGTCATAGGAGAAAGTCATACCGTAAAAAAACCCAATTAACTTCTCATAGCGATTTTTACTAAAAAAAAAACAAAAAACTTCTCGTAGCGACTTTTTACTAAAAAAAACAAATAAACTTCTCATAAACATTTTACTGCTCAAAATCCCAGACAAAATATTGATTTTATTCTTCAATAAATCTACATTGTATGACATCCGTAAAGTTTTATTGTTTCAACTGAGTTACATATACGTTCCCTACTACAAATGTACTCTTATCATTCCATCTGGGTCTAGTACTGGTTAAACTAGCTGCATTGTCACAGTGCCAATTCATAGATATATATAGTAGTTGATAGTGTTGGGGAAAATATAAGATTTATTTGTATAAGCTTTAAAAACATGGAAATAAATGAGGTGGTTTCATAGATGTACGAATACATTTGATATTTTCCTACACTGTACGAATATTACTTTTATCCTGCAATTTAATGTTGAGCAGTGTTTTTACATCCCAACTTTGAATGAAATCGACATGAGTTTAACGCGCACCACGACCAGGACCCCAACTCTAACTGTTATCTGCACACCATGTATTGGCTGATTGCAGGATAATCCTTTCCAACAATCTAGATGGTACTCATTCATATTATTTTCTTTCTTGATACTTATAGAATTGCGCAGATGTACATAGTTGACATGGCATGTGACAATGATGATGAAGAATGTATAGAAATGGCAAAATCGTCATTCAGACAGTTCATGGAGAGTGAAGGGAGTCATCAGTAAGTTCGTTACGCGTATTTCTGAGACAAAAAAAAACGAGGGTCTTGATGGGGGTGTCCTTCATTTTTATCAGTTCTTTATATTTAATCATCTCATTTTTCTCTATTTTTTTTTTTGCAATATTTTCTTCTAATCTTTATTTTTTTTATCCATTTTTCTGTAGATTTGACCAAATATTCTTGTTCCGTAAACCCCACTCATATATCTTTATCGTATATTATGCTCCGTTATAAACAGTTATAGTATTCAGAAAGCTTATTGCAAAATATTCTAAAATCATTTATCATTCATTAAAATTAAGTCTAGTTTTGACTTTTTAGAAATAAGTATGCTATAATTGATAGTTTTTTTTTCAAATTTCTTACTTCCATCAACAAAACCAAAACTAATTCATAAACCTCCATTTGTGGTGTGAATTCTAAGATGATTGCGTGTTGCTTGTTTAACATCCAGTGGCGAATATCAAATGTATTATTAAGACCGAGTTTGGTGTCAACTTTCAGATTTTCTACTAAAAAAAATTAAAAAAAAATCCGTATGCGTCTATTTGTTGTGAAGAACACTTACTGAAGCCAAAATAAATGCAGATAATGAAGTTGTAGTTTTTCAGCATGTTCCCGTTTTTCTACGCATTTTGTTTCCAGAATTGATGTCAATCTGAGAGATACTGTCTATTGTACTGCAGTGCGTCATGGTGGAGTTAAGGAATGGGATTACGTACTTAAGAAATTCAAATCGTCCAGAAACCCCTCAGAGAGAAAAGTCCTATACCGTGCTTTGTCGTGCAGTAAAGATATGAAGCTCTTACAGAGGTATTATGTATATCTAAAATCAATGAACCAGTATCATATATTATTGATTTGGTATAGAAATCATCATCCACAAATACTTGTATGCTCTGAAACATACATTTGATCGTGATAAATTCATTCGATTTTACGCTGTTTTGGTCTTTGGTCGCGACCAAACACTTTTGATGCGATCTCTCTAACTTCCCGTTCGCTATTTATTACATTTGCTTCCGATACTTTCGTAGTTAATGCTTGAGTGAAGTTTTGTCTGGAAAACAAGGCATTCGTCTTTTTTTTTTATACAAATAACTTAGCGGATGGGCTTATTTTGCTTTTTTGTTAGTAATTTTTAAAATTTGAATATATATTAACTCTGCGTAATATTTATTTTTACTTTTGATTCTTCAAATAAAAATGATCGCTTCAATAATATCTCAGCCTAATACGAGTGAGAACACAGTACTGTACTTAACATAGTAAATAAACTTATCATCAGTAACAAGATTAAAATTCTGTACGCCAGACGCGCGTTTCGTCTAAAAAAGATTCATCAGTGACACTCGAATCAAAAAAGTTAAAAGGCCAACTATAGCAGGAAGTTGAAGAGCATTGCGGAACCCGGAATGGAATTCTGAAAGGTTTTGCCAAATACAGCTAAGATAATCTATTCATGGGGTAGAACATCCGAAGTATTTTGAAAAAAATTAAAGGTTTATAAAATAATTATGACCACATCAATGATAATTCAGTCATGTCAATACAGAAGTGCTGACTACTGGGCTGGTATCTACATCCATATATACAGCACATATTTGTGGTGGAAATTGAAAGGAAGATTTCTGAACGTATTTATACATCTTGCATGTTAAAGGGTAGTTTTCGGAAAAAATGTCGCCTCTGAAAGACTGCACCATAAAAAAATATTTTGAACGTTTTTCGAAAATGAAAAACAATTCTATACAAACAAGGAAAAAACCTTTAAAATTTTCTTTGTTTTTTCTCGTAGATTTTTGAAGTACACCTTAAATTCAGAGGAAATCCGACAAGGAGAGTTAACCAAAGCGTTACTATATCTTTCCAAAAATAAAGTTGGACGGTCCTTGGCTTTTGAATATCTAACAGAGAATGCAGGTGCTTTTGATAGGTATGTATCTATCAGATAATGTTAAGTTTAAAAAAAAAACCGAAGTAATAACTCCGTAGTGTAGATAGTTGCTTAATAATATTTAAGATTAACTAAAGGAGCAAAATAAGACCGGAATGTTTTTTATGCCATTGCATTGTTTTGCATGTGACCTTAATACCTTTGGGGTTAGGACATTAAAGAAAAATAAATAAAGAATCGGCATATATGGACGCAGGTTAATGGATACGTAGAACATTCAACTTAATAATCTTTATTTTTTCACTATATATATGAAAAAAACAATATAGTATTGATAATATTTTACGAACAATCCCTTTTTATGACAATGACGAAAATTGTGCTAGTAGATTTAACCATGTAAACAATTATTTAAATCTTATAGCATTTGTTCTCTCACATTTTGTGCAAGTGTGTATTCTCGAATTTGTCTTCCTTGTCTTTAATGAAAGGATTTCATATATAAAATATAGAGTTTTTAAAGAACATTTACTGTCCCATATCTGAAGCTTAATAGCGCTCAAAGTGGCATTTAACACAACCAATCAATTAACATTTCTTATTATTCATTTCTAATATAAACTTTGAATATCTTATTTTCAACACTGGACGTTAACTGCAACCAACAATCAATCAATCACACTTATTTTCAGACTCGTAAAAGATGGAATGAAACCAGACAAACTATTCCCTGAGCTGGTAGAAACATTTAATACTCATCATGAAATAGAAGGGGTAAAATTTATTATTCAGCTTACTGTTTAAGTATAATATTAAAAAAAAACTTCTTCGAATAATCTGTGTAAATTTAGTATACTTATAATCAAATCACTGTTATTTTATGAACCAAATTTACTTAAAGGTACACTTTAACCCGGAAATTTTGAATAGATATATGTTTTTCGCAACCACTTCCAATCATTTGTGGTATGCCGCATATGTTTTAAAATGAATGTTACACTGTACCAAGTTCTAATGTATGTAAACTGCATTCCACATCGTATACTATTTCACACTTTAAAGTGCATTAAACGTTGCACATTCTATCAAATTAAGAAAAGATTGAATACATGTTCCGGCTTTACTATTTACTCTAATTGAAATTACCTTCCACACATTTCCAACGGAAAAAATTATTAAAAAGACGGGCATGAAAGTAAAGTTTAGTTACGGATAAAAATAAAATAGTATGCATTTTAGATGTATAACACATTGACAATGTAATGCCAGAGACAACTTACTCAAATAACCTGTCATTGTATGTTCATTTTCCAGTTTATTTATTTTAGTTTGGCAAGAAGTCTCCAGTGAACATGCAATCATGGCGTGTTAAAGCGGCATTGGCAACTGCAAGGAATAAGCTAACATGGGGTGAACAGAATTATGATGTCATCAAGACTTGGCTAATGAGCAAAGATATTTGACATTATACATGTACATGTAGCTTCCTTGATTAAAATATTTTCGCACAAATTTGCTCTTCCTTTCTTACAAGCACACATACCCACTAAAAATAACATCAAATTAGAGATTTTTATTATAAAAGTTCATTTATTTGTGTACATGTTAAGATGAAAATAAGAAATTGTGGTATGATTGCCTAAGACACCAACTATCTGTTTCTGAGGTCAACATTTCTTTTTGTTTACAATACTTCAGGGGACGACCATTGGATATTTGGCGGGGTGGATTTTTTGCGGGTTGACTATTCATTTATATCTGTTGCTACGCATACTTAAAATACTTTTTTTCGCGGCCAGAATATGCCTCTTAAAAATCCTGCTGCCCTCCCCCCAAAAAATAAAAATCAAATTGTCGTCCCCATATCAAATTCAAAATTGTTTCAGTCGAGACACATATAGACGTGATTTTCTAGTCAAACATGAACATCTTTTTTTTCTATACTCAGGGCTTGACACATTGCACGTGTGTTGATCTGTAGAGTGATTGAACTTTAAATCTTTGTTGAAGTTAAAATTAGTTGTTTTGGTAGTTTTTGCATGCCATGTTTACCCCACAGCGCTTTTCATTTTTATCTATATATTGTATGGACCCTTCAGCTAAGTAAGCAATAAATACAGCATTACAAGCTCTCAGGCTGTCTTGTCCGTGTGACCTCGATGGTAGAGTGGTCTACAGTTATATTAACAGTTCGATTCGGGAGATGACCACTACGATAAAGAAGTAGTAAAAAGTTCGTTTAATGTCGACTTGAATTGTATTCCATTAGTTAACCAAAAAGCCCAACCAGGAATAGATCGGATAATAAAAAAATGTTTTATACTTTCCCCAAATATAATCGTGCGCAATTTTTGCTATATATTTTTGACTGTACGACATACATGTGTACTATTCTACTAGTATAGTGAAAGTTACAACGGCAAATCTTTAAAATATATTAATTTAGTTTTTTACGATAGCAAATGAATCTTTAATGAAGTATAATTTCAAACTGAAACCATTTTTATCAAATATTATGAATACTAAAAAGTAAATATATTCATTTCATTCTTACAAGCACAACTACCTACTAAAAATAACATCAAATTGTATATATATTTACGCTAATCACATTTTATCAATAGGTAATAGGTCTATTGTTGTTCGGTTGTTAGCCTGAGCATCTGGGTAGAACCTCTGTTTTGGCGGGGTTCTTAGTTTCCTGTGGAATCTTTTGTTACTGTTATGTGTCTTTTAAACGTTTTTATTGTTGGCTTTTGTTATTGGACTCATGTTATCTCTTCTCTCTCCTTTTTGTCCTTTGGTCTTATGGATACATATTGTCTCACTGGTAATCATTTTTTTATAAGTGTTTGATAATAAATTCTGTTAAAAATCATCTGGATAATCTATGATGCAATCTTTGAGGGTCTGGATGAAGTTTATTAACAGAATAGAGAATACTTGGCAAAGAAAAGAATATAAAGGGACAAAATAGAGAAATAAAGCAAAACAATAGAATAAAGAATAAGCTGGTGCTAAAATACAAATAATAGAGAAAAAATTCCTTAAAAAAGTACAGAAATGAAAACACCCTCCCCTTTCCAGACAGTTACGATACTGTTGTCAAGTCATTAAGGATTGCATATTTTGGTATTAATATTGATTCACTCATAGGGTCTTTGCATCGGAAATAAACACATTTATTCTAAAACCAGTTGTTGGCATGATACGGGTTATGTTCTTCTCATATATGTTATGATGATATGATACTAAACCCCTAACGAGAGGGATTGTACTTGATTTTCATATGATGAAGACATAATCTTTCAATCAGTTTAATTGAGGTCTGGAGCTGGCATGTCAGTAACTGCTAGTAGTCCTTTATTCATTTATGTATCATTGTCATTTTGCTTAGTTTCATTTGTTACCTATTCTGACATCGGACTCGGACTTCTTTTAAACTAGTTTTTACTGTGCGTATTTCTATGTGTTTCTTTTTCATACATTGGCTAGAGGTAAAGGGGGAGGGTTGAGATCTCACAAAACATTTTTAACCCCGCCGCATGTTTGCGCCTGTCCAAAGTCATGAGCCTCTGGCCTGTGTTAGTCTTTGTTTTTTATTTTTAGTTCATTTATATGTTTTGGAGTTTAGTATGATGTCCATTTTCACTGAACTAGCACACAATTTTATTTAGGGGCCAGCTGAGGACCACCTCCGGGTGCGGGATTTTCTCGCTGCATTGAAGACCCATTGGTGTCCTTCGGCTGTTGTCTGCTCTTTGGTTGGGTTGTTGTCTCTTTGACATATTCCCCATTTCCATTCTCAATTTTACCTCATACTTATATGTTTTACACTGTAGCATCTTATTGTTTTTATTTACATCTATGTCAATTGTCAATGAATAATCTACTATTCTCTAATCAAAACTGCACATGACCCATAAATACTTCTACAGACACGAAACAAACATCATAAAATCAACTGTCAATCAAAATTACAAATTTCTACTGTAAATTCATTAACTGTCAAAGATAATATCGAAATGTTAAGTTTTTTCTATAGGCTCACGTGCCAAGTGACACAATAATCAGTTTTCAGGATGCGCGTGATGTAGGCCTGATAATCGATATTTGTGTTTTTTACGAGTAAAAAGAAAAAAAGATATATGGATGTTTTATCACATATATAAACAAAAAGCCAATAGTATTTGAAATAAATTATTAAGACTGTATCGATGTAGATTTTATTCAGACATTAATCATATCGTTCCTCTTGTTACAATGTATACTCGGCGCTTATATACTTATACGATCAGTATTTCTACTATAGAATGCATTAAAATGTATTAAAGTTAGTACAACGTAGCTGCCAATATTTCCTGTAGTTATTTCAGAATCGTAAAACTAAAAATTAATAAACAAAATACTAATAAATAAGTAAACAATTTCATAAAATAAAATTGACGCTAGAAAAACAAGTTATTTTTATGACATTGCCTAATATCCATGAACGTTGATGTTTTTAATTTGATTACGCATACAAATCAATCAAAAAACATTACAAGCTACAAAATGTCGGTAGAATATCAAAAAACTCAACCCTATCTAAACTTCACATCGCATTCTTAGATCGTTGTAAGGTGATTGACTTCGTAGTATCAAAATAAAAACAAAGTAAACTGATGTGTCAATTAATGGCTCCTGATGATGATTGAATTATATAACGTTTAGGAGAAAGCTTTATCTGTTACGGCTACTTTATTTCATACTGCTTTCGTTTTTTGTTGTTTGTTATTACAGCGTTGCTAAAACATAAATATACTAGAAATAACTAGTATTTGCTATTTAATATCAATTCCAAGTTTACAATCCACGGCGGTCACTGATATATTATATAGAGAGATTCTCTCTATATAGTATTTCTAGTATATTTATGTTCATATAATACAGAAAAACGCGAAAATAATTGAAATCAATAGAAAACAAAAAATAACGGATTTTGGGAAAAAGGGGGAGAGCTAAAAAAATTATTACCCCAAGAACCTATGTACCAAACAGTGGGAAGGCACACTACGGAAAGTGACAATCAAAGTAACAAAATAAAACAGTCCAGAAGTGTGTCCTCCTGCATTTTTATTTCTTATTTTCAATAATATTTTTCGAAAGTACACAATATATTAGGATATAGAGAGGTGAAAATCCTTATGTGGTATTCTAATAGATTGATACACAAATAGTGCTTTCGAAAATTCCAGAGATAATCGCAAGGACCCATATGTCGTTATGTACTTTTTGAAAATCGTATAACGGTCATTTTCATTATTTTCAACATTCATTAACAGATTTATTATTGGTAAAACAATAGCAGTTGTAGACAACAATTTTTAGCCTTCATACCTGGACCAGTGAATCCACACTGCAGGTCTTTTTGATTTATTGTTATATCCAACCTACTGAACCATCACATACAGAAGCGAAAACATTTAGTGATCTTTGTATTCGTACTTCGTTTGTCGGTTATGCTGTTCCTCCGTGCTTACTTTTTGTCCACAAATCGCCCATATCAATTTTAACAGAAGTTTTGCACCACTCGGTGGCGGATCCAGAAATTTTCATAAAGGGGGGGGGGCACTGACCGCAACGAAATAGGACAATAGTGTCGGAAGTGGCGTTCAACGCCAATTAATTAATCAATCAATCGATTATCTCTCTAAATTTATTTGCACACTGTTTCATATGAAAAGGTCTGTAAAAGAGAGGCGAAAGATACCAGAGGGACATTCAAAGTCGAAAATAAACTGACAACGCCATGGCTAAAAAAGAAAAATACAAACAGAAAAACAATAGTACACAAAACAAAACATAGAAAACTAAAGACTGAGCAACCCGAACCCCACCAAAACTGGGAGTGATCTCAGGTGCTCCGGAAGGGTAAGCAGATCCTGCCCCACGTGTGGCACCCGTCGTGTTGCCCATGTTAGTACAAACCCGGTAATATGTATAATTCGGTAGGTAACATTCGGGAAAAGGGGAACGGGATTGTAGTTATGACATTAGGAACATATCCGCTATCATCCGTGATGGTCAACCAACTCGTGATGGCGTCCGTAAAACGTGCGAAGGGATGATTTCAACTTCACCACTTTAAGCGGTTTTAAAGTTTGTATATTTGTATTGGACTGTCTATTTAACTTAAATACGATCCGTTGATACACGAGGGACTATGATGATCATTTAGTGATTTCAACCTGAGTACTTCTTTGTGCTATCTCGAAACGTAAACATGGCTGACAGATTTAGTTTATTGTCGTGTTGTTGCATACGAACAATAAACTTCTGTAAATATTTGAAATTTAATACCGACTGTATCTAAAAGGAGAAGTGCGTGTGAATACATACTCGTCTCCATAATGGAAGATAAATTAAATATACGTATGCTGACACCTATCAAACCGTGACAATATTCATTTATTACCGGATCTTAAATTTCAACGACTATTACGGGTACTAGCACTACATTCCA